ATCATATTTGGGAAAAAAATGTACATGACACTCACTATCTTCAGTGCTCAATAAATCTCTTTCAATATATCCTACTAGACACTCATTCACAAACTGTTCACTTATTTGATCACAAAACTTGTTTTTTATGTAACCCAAAGCTAAAAAAACTCTCACAACACTTGGAATTGCAACGGGTAAAAGTCAATACTAATTTTGAGAAGTAAATAGACTCATGATCATAAATATGATAAGAACAACTTTGTCTCCAACATCAACTCAAATAATTCATCAGCTCCATTTAATCAACAAAATAACTCATAATTTTTAACACAATGATAATAATTCTCAAAATCTTATAGAAGAAAAAATTCTTAACGGTGATGAAACTCTTCAGGATAAAATCATGTCTTACAATATGGTGGGGATAAGGGTTAGTTCGTGGGTTCAATTTTGGGCTTTGGAAACGTTAGAGATAAGGGCTACACGTTTACAATTACATTTAGGATAAATTAAAATAAACGAAGTGTAGCCAATATAAACGATGCTCACTAATAACTATTATGTTATAGATTCGAATCACATATATTATCATTTATTTTTTCTCTTTTTTTCCAGACTCAAACTATTATTAGGGTTCCTAAATTTTTAGGGTGTCATAGGACATCCCACCCTCCACATGGGTCCGCCCCTGCGTCCATTCCACTTGCATGCCAATATCTGCAACCATTGTCAGGCATCAACTCTCCAGCAGGAGAACTTATTGTAGCTGCCCTCCCCCACACCTCTCCTCCAATCTTGTCGGGTCAACCGAAGGGTTCCAACGAGCCAAATCTTAATCCTAGCCAACCCTACTCATACACGATTCTCAATCCAGCCATCACCCAACTAACTAATGAGCTTGATGAAATGGCAACCGCAAGGCCCATGTCCATAATAATGAGAAAATCTTCCAACGAGTTGATGAAACCAGCTCCACGGAGGCATCGCAGCCGGAGCCCGTTCAGGGCCCTCCTATCGTCTTCTTCGTAAGAGCAACCCACTGTTACCCAGCCGTTCTTTCTCTCTAAATAAGTTATGGACTTGTCCATTTTATCTTGGAATGTGAGGAGAGCAAGGAATAAGTTATTTGATCGCACTCTCAAGGACTTTGTGAGAAATAGAAAAATTGATGTGGCTTTCCTTCTTGAACTCAAAATTAGCAAGGAGAGAGCTGCTGAAATAGTGACACACCTACCATTTTCAAAATCTTTCAGAGTCAAAATTGTTGGAAGGGCGCGCGAATTTGGATGCTTTAGAATGAAAATTGGTTTATCTGTACAGTTTTGGATTCGGCAAGCCAAGTTCTCCATGTGTTGGTCGAATCCCCGGGGAAGCCTAGTTGGATGTTATCAGCAGTTTACACAAATTCGTCACCTAGCAGAAGAAAAATCTTTTGGCACCAACTCTAGAACTTTGCGAGTGAGAATCACCTCCCTTGGCTTCTCATTGGAGATTGGAACGAATTTGCCGGTCCAAGTAAAATTAAAGGAGGAGCTCCAAGCAATTCAAATCGCATCTTCAATATGCATACTAAGATGAGCAGATGCGGGTTCCTTGACCTGGGATTTCAAGGCCCACAATTTACTTAGTACATGAACGATACTAGATTTGGCATCCTCCGGGAGCGTTTGGATAGAGCATTGGCCAATGTTGAAGGGAGATTGCTTTTTCCAGAATTATCAATTTTGCACCTTCCAAGGACGTACTCAAATCACTGCCCAGTTCTCTTGAACACCCAAGGATTATCTAATTCTATGCTGGTACGCCCTTTTCGTATAGAAGCCATGTGGTTATCAGATGAGAACTACTTACAGTTGATCCGTGGGGAGGTTGGAACTACTGAAAGAGACACTTCATCCCTCCTCAAGTACCTGCAGGACATGTCTATAACTTGGAACAAAGAAGTATTTGGTAACGTGTTTGCAAGAAAGAAACAAGTTCTCGGCAGATTGAAAGGAATAGAGAGGGAGATTGCAAGTCGTCCAACATAAGCAGCTTGGCGATTGCAAGGACAGTAAAGCGAAGTGTATAATCAATTTTTCATACAGGAGGAGATATTTTGGCACCAAAATTCAAGAGTCCAATGGATGGCTGAAGGTGATAGGTGTACTAAAGTTCGCTAAAAAAGGAACAAAATTGAATGTCTGCAGATTCACAGCCGATCTTGGTGTCATAATGTCAACATACTTAAACGGGTGTCAATTGATTATTTCACAGGTTTTATCACAGGAACCACAACAAGTTGGGAAGGTTGAAGATGGATACACATGTAAGACAACCAAGGCTCTCGGCAGAAGCAATAAGCAGATTGGTGGCTGAAGTTGGTGAAAAGGAAATGTGGAGAGCGGTGACATCTATAAAGCCCTTGAAAGCGCCTAGACCCATTGGCTTCTCACCATCATTTTATCAGTAATTCTGACAAGAATTGAAGGATCGAGTGGTGATTGTGGTGAAAAAAGCTTTCATAGAAGGGCGTTTCCTTAACCAAATAGCAAGAATACTCATGGTTTTGATCCTGAAAATTGACCATCCTGAGAACTTCAGTCAATGTATACCCATCTCTCTTTAGAAATGTAATATTCAAGATCATAACTAAAGTTTAACTGAACGACTGAGGCTTGTACCTTGATGAGATTGTAGGTCCACATCAAAGCAGCTTCCTTCCAGGAAGCTCAGCTCAAGAGAATATCATTGTGGTGCAAGAGGTAATACAGAGCATTAGAAGCAGAAGGGGTCGAGAAGCTTACATGGTAGCAAAAGTCAACTTGGAAACGACCTTCGATAGGGTCAATTTGAGATTTTTGGAAGACACCTTGATTTTTTTTTTTGGTTTCCAACTAACTGGGTCCGGCTGATCATGTTTTGTGTTACAGGGCCATCAATTGCAGTATTGTTCAACTGGTGAATGATTCGGGACCAATTGTACATATTTTACCTCTCATTTCTAGTTTGTTTGACTTGGTATTTCATCGTCACTCGTCCTAGCACATGTGAGAGGATCGAGGACGAGTTTCGGGTTGATTGGAGGTCAAAAAATGCGAAAAAGAGAAGAAAAGTCCAAAGTCGGGGTTTGAGCACCTCATTGGGCGTGAAGTGCGATGATTCCAGAGAGTTTTGTGCACCTCATTGTACCTCGACTGGATCACGTTCGCTGGACCGTGAAAACTCACCCCAGACCGTGAAGTTGGACCAAAAATATAACAAATTATCCATAAATAACATGATTAATTAAAAACTTCTTCCTTTCAATTAAGTTTCTTCACTCTCCACTCGATAACATCCACTTCATTCTACACAATTAGAAAGAAAAAATTAGACATGTCTCCACAAACATAAATAAGATGAGTTGTTTAGAATATTAAATATACCGAGAAAATTAATTATATGAGTGGGCGGGTACCCATGGGCCGGATTTACCTAAACCCAAACCCAACCCAACCCGACGAATAGTGAACGAGTTTAAACCCAAACTCGGCCCAAAACCTGTCAACACGAATTTTACCCGCGTTGACCGGATTGGGTCGGGTAGGTACCCGTGAGTTCGGGTTTTGTTGCCATCCCTAATAACGGGTACCCGTATTACCCAAACGGGTATTAGCGAGTAACCCATGGGTACCCATTGTTGAAATTTACAATACCAAATTCCATCCCGCAATAAATAAAATGGGTATTTGGATACCCGTAACCCTAAAAAAGGAACGGGTATGGTTATACCCAAATACCCGTTTCTACTTGCTCACCCCTAACTCAGGATGAACTATGAATAAGTGTGTAAGCACGTTACGGTTTTCGAGATAGTAACACTTCTCCTCAGCATTGTGGAAAGTGTAATGCAAATATATCATATTACCAAGCTCTGCTCTCATTATCTTTCTGACTTTATAAATTTGTCTTTTGTTATGCGTTCCATCGGTCCCTTTTCTCTCATTCCCTACCTTGTTGATATTTCTTAGCAGAACACCGACCGATCTCACCTACCGAACGTATTGCTTATTATCTTTAGTCAAAGCATTCCCCTAGCTTGATTCATCCGGAAATAGATCCAACCGATGATTGAGAAAAACCAAAAATAGCACCCAGATTCTTTAAATCTGCCACTTCTAAGAATCAACCAACCAACCTTATCGGAGTCCCTACCCGATGATCGCAGCTCTAGAATAAAAGTGTTTCTCTTTCTTTAATCAAAGTAGTGTTTGTTTCTTAAAGGAAACTAAAAAAGAATAAAGTGTAATTTTAATATTTTTTAGGACGACTGATAATAATTTTAAGGACAACCTTTATCAATTCCCTTATCAAATGACACTAGCACACAACTCAAGAAAAAACATACTGACGTTTTGCCCCCAAACTATTCCCAATCTCTAACCAAATTCCCAAAAACACTTGCCTTGATCCCTAAATGCCAGTCGTCACCCTAGGATCCACGTCGCTGCCGTTCGCCCTGGAAGTCCTTGCGGTGGTTGCTCCTCTGCTCGGTCCATCCTATCAACGCCGCCAATTTCGGGAAAATGAAAAATCAGTCTGCAATTAATTGTAGTTCAGCGACAAAATCTCCAGGACGCAGAGAGTGAAAAAGGTCGGCATATTCGCTTTTGTAGATCTAGGGTTACTCAGTCTACTTTGGACCCTTGTCCCCGTGCTTCCTCCCCCGCAAACCGTCTCTCACCACAGAAGGCGGTAGAAAATTAGGCCGTGGGTGAAGAATTCCGCCAGTGAAAATTGGGGATTAGGATTTAGGGCGATAGATTGGGGTCGTGGGTGAAGAATTTCGTCGGTATCTTCTTGAGCCGCTAACGAGCACAGCAAAATTAGGGATTAGGACGATGAATTGGGAGCGACCATTTTAAAAATTAGAAATAATATCGCTTATTTGGTTAATTTAGAATAAAACTTTTAAAAAGTTAGGAGGTCAAATAGAAATTGAGAAAAATATTAGTATGAGTCTCTAGGAAGAGCGAGAGGGTTGAGCCCAAAGCTAGTAAAAATGAGAAGGAGATGAAGTAACCAGAGAAAAAATTGAACTGGTAACTAAGGGCCAAGGGGTAAGGGGAGACTACACTAATTCTAGGTCTTCCTCGTCTCCCCCACAAGAAATGGCGGGAAGCAATCGCTAAGCTCGGCAACTTTGGGCGGGAAACTCTTACCTTCTTCCACTCCCCCCTATTTATCGCCCTTCTACCGCCCTAAAATCTGACCCTCGCAAAAAGCCATTCTATATCACCAACGCAGCGCCGAGCCCGATCTGAGAGAGCCAAAGCACCTTCTGAGTCGGAAATGGTGGGACCAATGTACGATTGCCTTGCGAACCCTCTCGGAGCAATCCGACTGACATTCGAGAAGGCAGTCGGGTCAGGCTGCGAGCCCTCCGCCTTCGATGGCAAAGACTGGGGCGCTCTCGACGTCTTTCGCGAGTTCCTGGTGGACCAAGGCAACCTCTCTCAGGTCAGTAGATATACTATTTCCGATTGCCTCATCATCTTTCTGATTAAATGTTTTAGGTTAAAAGGAACTGTAGACTCTTGCAACTATTTAGGGAAACAGAAAGAGGCCTTTACGTTTCAGGGGTTCTTATAATGGATTGCTTGGTAATCTAGGTTCCGGTTCTGAATAGTGAAACTCTGAAGTGGGTTCAGCCCAACACTCTGGTACGCTTTAGGGGAATGGTACAGGACATGCTGGGAAATGAATTCTACGCTGGTGCTTACAAGGTGCAAACATGCTGACTCTATTTGTCTTTTACCGTCTTCTTTAGTGTGTTCCCTATATGAATTCACTTAGCTCATGGAAGTCTTGTGCATTTGTGTTGATGAAGGATGGTTCTGGTTGGAGAACTAACAAATTTGGGGATGACTCTCAGCAACCTATTGATTCCTCACCCGATGTGAGGGTTTGGGAGCGACGATTGTTGTATTGTGTTCCGGTGAGTATGGTGTGTGTATCTACATATCTCCTTATCTTAGTTTCTTCCTTAATCTTGTAGCCATAAGTTGGAGATTTGGTCTCAAAGTTCTTGTCTTGGAGGATTATGTGATGTACTCTGGTGTATACATTGAATATTTTGGTGAATACTTAGGCTGGCACCTGCGTCTTGAAGTATTGTTGTTCAGTTGTCTGTCGGTTTGCAGATTGCTTCTGGAAGTGTGCTCCATCATCCAATTGATGTTTGCTCATGCAGGTTCCTGGGCTTAATACATGGGCTGAGAGCGAGGCTGCTTCTGAGGCTACTGTTACTTCCATGGATTTGACATCACAACAAAGAGATAAACGTCAGAGAATGGATGCTGAATCAATGGATTATGAGGTCTGCCCATCATTCCCCATCTCATGAAGCAGTTCTTTTGGTTTCTTTTACTTTCAACTTAGGTACAACTTGATTTATAACTTGGTTATACGAACAGTATAAAAAACGTAGCTTCAAGTTTTGCCGCTTATTTACCCAGATCATGTGTACGCTAACTCTATACCGGTGATCAGGTCGTTTGTCTTGTCACATCATGATGTGACTAGATTTCCTGCTTCATCCCAACACCCCCACTACAGCAATTAAGCATTATTTATACTTTACACAATTTTTCTCTGTTGTTTTCTTTAATCTGTTCTTATCATTCACAGGGCTCTAATATTGTGCTTGAAGATTCACCTAGTGCAAAAAGGATGGTAAGTGTCGCTGGTTTGGGCATCCTCTCAATACTTAATGTAAATGTTGATGCTTGACACTTGAGGGTTTGAATGTACATTTTTCTTAAATTTGGGAAATTGTTTTTGGAAAGGGGATGAACATTTTATGACGTTCGGAAAAAAGTTTGTCTGGTAAGAGCTTAGACAAAAGTAAAGATGATGGAAAGTGAATTTTTTTTATTAATAAAATGGTAGTTGATGAGATGGTGAATAATTTATTTTACAGTAAAGTAGGTTTTAGAGTGAAGTTGTGGATAAAGCGTAAAATTTTGACTAACATTTAAATTTGGGGAAAATTTAAAAAGTAAATGTAGAAGCAAATACCGTGAGAATCAGTGAGAATCTTGATGGTTATTTTCCGGTAAAGTGGTTGTACATTTTGAGTGCTGATGTTCCCTTGAGCAAATCTTGATGTATTGCATTTTATTGTGTTTTGTTGACGTGATGTGGTTACTCCCGATACTGAAGTGCCTGTTGTATTCCCTTGTAGAGAGAGGATGGACATCCTTCCCTTTCTGTGCAGCTTTCCGACCTTAAACCTGAAGGGCCATGTTCTAGCACGATGATGAGACCAGAAGTTGGAGACTCTCCTTCTTGCCTTGTGAAGGTAAAGTGACTAACCCATCGTAATTCTCAAGTCATCAGAATTTATGGGCTAATCCATTAGATTTCATTTTTCACCCTTCTGACGTTCATTCTTTTCCTTCTTCATTTAGGTCTATGATACTCGGGAGTCCGAACTCAAGCTGAATGATATTTTTGAATTTGTTGGTGTCTTCACTATTGAATCAGAGCCTGTACCTGCTGATGATGGTGATGACATCGACCTAACCACTGGCTTTCGCAATGATTTGGTCCATTTGCAAGCCAACAAGGTTTATTCCCTCGTCTTAACGTAAACAATGTCATTTACTTTCAAGTTCGACCAGTTATGGTTGTGACAGTACTAGTATGGCATTCATAAGTAGCTTCCCTTTCTCGAATAACATCTGTAAATTATTCTGTTGTATAGGTGCCATGCCTTCACTGCATTGTCCACCGGAAACTTGCAGTTTCTGATTTTCTGAGGTCTTCACCCATCATAGAGGTAACTATGTTATTGTCCCAATATGACTTCTGCCACTCGTGCACTCTTTGCATTTCAGTAGCTTGAGGCAAATTTCAACCTATCCTTTAAGCTAACCCGATCTTGCTCCTTGACATTGTAGCAAAGTAAACATGTAGTCATGAATACAAGGGAATCTCTGCTAAGGCATCTTACAATGCTTTTAGGCAATGATGGTGTGGCAGCAAATTACATGTTGTTGCATCTTTTGTCCAAGGTAAATGGATATCTTCTATCTTTAAAAAATGCTTTACTCGTCTATTGGTCTTTATATAATGACTTTTCCTGTGCAGATACATGCCCGAGTTGACAATGTTGCAGTCGGGAAACTTTCATTGAATCTCACATGTTTGAGCAAAGAAGCACTGTCTGTATTTGGGGTGCAGCTATGTAATGCTCTGAGGAACCTGCTTCCATTCACAGATTCCATACCCTTGACTGTGAACTATCTTAATACAGCTTGTCTTGGCCCCAAAAAGGATTATCAAAGGAACCGGTAGTTTATTTATCCATTTTTTTTATTCACCTATCTTGTTTAATAACTGTATTTTTCCTCCTGCTAATACATGAGCCACTAACCCTCATCTTCTATTAATTGTAACTTAAAAGCTTTGCATGCTCCATGTTTCAGATTAATAGGGGGGACCCTTCAGCTAGCTGAGGGCTCACACTTGACAATTGATGAGACACAGCTGGAAACTGGAACTCTCAACTCTGTTGGGATTGAGAATGCGAGGCTGCTAAAAGATCTAGTGGAGCTACAGAAGGTTGTTTGATTGTATTCTGCTTCTGTTGCCTGCTATACTTCATCGCTCCTTGTGTATGCCTCGACTCAAGATGTCTTTGAAAAGCATATCTTTCGTGTCCAATTTGTTAGGTGGAGTATGATTTCACATACTACAAGATGGAGATGGCGGCTGATGTGCAACTGCTGGTATTGTCGGAGGGCAAGTCCAACATATTGCCAGCCGATATTGTTCTGCCTGTGCGGCCTTCTGATGTGTCTCGCCCGGAAGTAGTGAGCGCAGAAGCTCTGGGAGCTTGGAGATGGTACTTGGCCACCATGAGGACATTGTCACATACCATAGAGTCAGAGATCCAAGAGGTTAAACTTGGAGCTTGTATAGAATTTTCAGAGAAATAAAAAGGGACAAGAAAAGATAGTTGATGTGTCTTTGTCATGGTTTGATGTGCAGGTGGTAGAAAAGGATCTAGTTGCTGCAAGGCAAGCCGATCGAAGAATTGGCAGCAAAGAGTTTAGCAGGTTAGTCACTTCCATGCATATTAGTACTTGGAGGGTGTTGTGTGAAATAAACATGTGATTGTTTGAATAAATTTATGGTTATGTGTACAGTCTGCTGACAATGGGGAGGCTTATGTCCTTGAGTTTCGGGGAGACAACGCTCTCACTGGAGCACTGGGAAATGGTGAAGGAGCTGGAGAAGTTAAGAAAGGAGAGGATCAACTGAATGCTCCGATTCCCATCCTTTGTATTATTCAGTTATATGATATGGCTGTTGGTGGACTGGTTGGTGAGAACTGAGAAGGTGTGTAAATAACTGGAGATACTTGCTCCGTAGATTATCTCTCAAACGTACGTAGATCGAACCAAATTAATTATGCTACGTTCAGTCTGTGCGTCTCGCAGAGTCTCGTTCAAGCTTATAACTGCCAAATTCACGATTTTGGTTTTCTCGATAGCGGAAATAATGCTGACGAGGCCTATCTGAAGTTATGAGAACAGCGCATTCCTTATCTAAAGTTATGCCATTCTTCAAAACTTCTTCACTATCTTCATAAGAAAAAAAAACTTACTTCACTATCCAACATTCCTCGTGTCTTCTGCAAACTCTCGCAAAGCCTTAGGATTATTGATTCGTGCGAGGTTTGGGTTGCAATTGGAGGATGGGTTCGTAAGTAAATGTCATATCTCAATGGCATTTAGGGCCCGAATTGAAGCTCAATATGATGGCACCTTGCAATCTAGGTGGAAACTTATCAATCATCAACATGAAAGGTGGAATGTGGCATGAACGTGGGCAAATGGTATATCAATGAGCTAATCTACCATGCTTAACGTGGTTAGTCGATTTCTTATATATCTTGATTGAATTAATAATCTAATTTTTGCATTTTTAATCTTTTACTGTGTGTTTTAAATTTTCACTTATGTGTGTGGTTTAAGATTACTAAAGTAGATGAACTTGGACCGATGGCGATGACAATGGATCTGGACAGTGGTGATAACAATGGACCAAAAGAGAGAAAGAAAGAAAGAGAAGAATATTAAAATCTAGTTAAGAGGAAGATTAAACATCGGCTTTTCTCTGTCCAATAACGAGAAGATTAAACACCGACTTTTGCTAATGTTCTTATATTTGGTGGCTCTAGAGCTAGAGTTGAGAATGAGTGCCATCAATGCGATTAGAAGGAGAGGGATTCGTTTGTCTTCAATTTAGTAGCGCGAAGCACTAATCACCATCTCACTCATTGGCAGGCTCATCACTACTCACTAGCATCTGTTTCAACCTCACAAGCCCAGTTGTGAGGACTTTCATAAGTTGTCATTGTCATTTAGCAAAGAAATCCCTTGATGTAGTGAAAAATCACGGGTCTCTTAGATTGGGTAAAATCCCCTTGGTAGTAAGAGTGGAGGAAGTAACAATGCACAAAGGCACCGAGGCTATCTCTTCCGTATTCCTCTTTCCAACTAAGATTTCCTTCATGAACTTCGTGAACTTTAGGATTTTCATAATCACATCCAACAAAAGAACTGTTACCTTCAACTAACTGAGCGTGTCCTTCCCATTAACCACACTTAGAATTCAAAGGCTCTTTGAGGAAATGGTAGTTTAGGAATGTACTTAGACACTTTAGGCTTGCACTTGGTCTTCATTCTTCTTCTCATCATTGCTGGCTTCATAGACTTGTCATTTCTAGTACTAGATTCTTCAACTTGGTCCACTACTCTTGGGACATCCAATAAGGGTATCCGAGTAACTAGCTCTAAAGTAGCATTCTCAATTGCACGACCACTCCTCAAGGTGACTACATGAAAACTCTCCCTTGGATTTGGTTCTATGTTATCCGGTCAAGTACCTTGTGGTCTAACCGACAACGAGCTTGGGCAGTAGTGCTCACTTGTGCTTTGAGGTTCTGGATTAGAGCTTTTTAATTCTTTTGGCTAGCTTGCAAGTTAGAGAACTATCCACTTGAATTCACAACAAAATAAATCACTCCAGGTTTTGTCAACACCCATGAATGTTGAATGAGGTTGGACAATATAATGATTGAGGAGATTGAAGTACATAAGGCAACAATGCCAAAAGGGTTCTTTGATCTCATCACTCCTTTTCGCACATAGTTGATAGTACCTCTATCTTTAATGGTAAGAACCCACAAGGAAATTTGTCCTCCTGTTATGTTTGCGTTTGTTTATTATTCAAGCCGACTATCCGACTATAGTATACTTGCTTATATGAGTATGCTTCTCTAGTCTCAAGGGTACATACAATAAATACATTGCAAGCTCTCTTGTGTTGTAAGGTTTCACTACTACTTTGCTCTCTCCTTAGTAAATTTGGGATATACTCACCTGTGTCCTAAGGTATTGAGTGTTGAAGGAGTCAAGTTCCACGGAGAGGACGAACCGTGTCCTTAATCAACTTCCTTTCCCAATAAGATACATCTACAAAAGCATGTTCTAGAAGATTATCAACTAATAATGGAAACATAACACTATTGATTTATTAATTTCTAGTAAAGTTTTCTAAGTTGAACATCTTAGATCAAATGATAACAAACATGGGGCCCATATAGAAATTAATTAAAGGATCGAAAGACAAATCATCATGGTAGTAACTCTACCTATGTAGGATTGGCAGACATAACATCTAGGTTTCAAGGAGAATAGAAAGTTGTGAATGATGGTCCGACATTGTCAAATTTCCAATGTACATTCTCATGAGAGACAATGTCCAAAAATAAGGGTAAACATAAGGATAAAAGGTTTTAATGGCTTCTAATTTTGACATGTGATGTGATCAAATAGTGTATTTTTGGAACACACTTTTTTTTACAATCAAATCTGCTATTTTATTAATGTGCCTTAAAATCTTTATCTAAAGTAGACAAAAGAAAGGGGCCCTACGGGCTATGAGCCGAGAATTCCTTAGCATCCCAATTACGTTTGGCATGGGCCAATAGATGGGCCACCTGGTTGCCTTTTCGCCGAGTGAAGCTCCATTGAACCGGTCCAATTTCTTGGCCTCGTTTGCAATCTCTTCCAGCATAGGCCCAACCTCTAGTCTCGTTCGCTTCTCATTCCTCGGTGAGTGTGAAGTAGATCCACTTCAAGGAGAATAAAAGATGGTCAGTTCTCTAAGAACTCAAAAAACCAGATGGTGTTCATGGCTAAAACGAACACAAAAGTGAGAATCAGTGAATGGATAATAGTTAGTTGTTGACATATATTGTCTTAATACACAAGCAAAACGGAGGATTCAAAGATATCATATCTACCGATTGGTGAGTATACTCGATGTATGTTCACTATAGAAGAGTATCCTCCCTTCGTACACACCCTTTCATTTTCTATAAATAGCACATAACCCCTCTTGTTTTGATACATGTTTTTCACTAACTAAAACTTTGCCAAAATCCAAACTGATATTTATGCATTCTTTTCAAAAGAAAAAATCAAGTCAGGTGTTGTTCTCACCGATTTGCTGTATTCGTTGGTTTTCGAGGTTTAAGGTATCACTACGTTGAAAAGGTATGTCATTTCTATCATGGAAGAAATCATTTTCTAACCTTGAGTTCTAGAGGAGAATAAGATTTTTTAATGAGAGACAATTAGGACGATTGCATGTGTTTGCATGCATGATTTGATGATCTTATATATTACTTGTGATGACAATTCCCACAATTTACATAGCAAAGGGAAGAATTGGAGTATACAAGGCAGCAATGCCAAAAGGGTTCTCTGATTTCATCACTCCTTTTCGCTCATAGTTGATATAGTACCTCGGGCTCTTTTAATGGTAGGAACCCACAAGGCCATTTGCCCTCTTGTTATGCCTGCCTTCCTTTATTATTCAAGCCGACTTTCCGACTGCAGCATACTTGCTTATATGAATATGCTTCTCTATTCTCAAGGGTACATACAGTAAAGACATTGCAAGCTCTCTTGCGCCGAAAGGCTTTGACTACTGCTTTGTTCTCTCTTTAGTAACTTCGGGATATACTCACCTGCGTCCTAAGGTATTGAGTGTTGAGGGAGTCAAGTTCCACGGAGAGAACGGACCTTGTCCTTAATCAACTTCCTTTCCCAGTCAGATACATCTTCAAAAGCATCTTCTGGAAGATTATCAAATGGTTCCTTCCAGGAATCATTCTTTGCCAAATCATACGTGGCTCCTCTTATGGATCTCTTATTAGGTCCGCATGGCCTCTTTGATGTTAATGCATCGTATGCTGCGTTCAGCTGTCAAAAGCAGTTCAAGTCATTGATAATAGTTAAACAAATTGCATTGCAACATTCAACGGCAGTAGCCAGTGAGATTCATGACTGATTATGGTCCCCGGTTCAGCTTCCTGCAACTAAAACTTTGACATCCGAAATGGCATTGGCATTGTAGGATGCAAAAGGTCATTCAAGGACTACTTACATTCATGTCACAGAACCAGAACATGTAAGCAACTGTGACAGCAGGGGCTCTGCCGAGTCCAGCAGTGCAATGAACATAAACTCTCCCTTTGCCCTCAGAGACGGCCCATTCCAAAGACGAAACAGCCTTGGGAAGTATGCTCCGCAATGAATCAGGGTTGAAGTCTACAGCCTGGACAAAGAAAAATGAAAAGAAAACGTAATTTCTACTAAGTGCTGGACTGCTGGTAGAAGGAAAAAATCAGTGTAGTATATCAGCAACATCTCAACAAGATTAGACCCAATTTGCTTACAGGCCTTCTCATGTGACGGACTCCAAGCTCTCGACACCTTTTTACGATGGACTGCAGGTCAATACCCCAAAACTCCACATCCTTGTCCTGCTGCAAATTCAGAATGTAGGCAACATTCTCCTCACCTTTCAAATGATCAATGTCTTCAGGCTTCTGAGGCTGGGAGCCCACGATAACATCATCGGTGATCAGCGTGTAGTTCATACCTGAAAGACCCGCCACATTGATCACTATTTAAGATGGGTTGAAATAACAATAATACATTTAAATCAGAAAGCAAATCGCTCCAAAGTAGTGAAGTTCTAGGAACACAGAACTTGGAGGGTAAATGGGTTTCAGTCCATTCTGAACAGGGCAGGGCGAAAAGGGACAGAAAAGTTGATCACATTCACAGCCACAAAAGTTCACTCAAAAGCCAGCAGCACAGTAATCTTAACAGTAAAGCAGTTTCCTGGTTGCGCCTTTTCTTCCCTTTTTAGTGCCTCTAATCTAACCCCTATCAGACAAATCCAATTGGTAGCCTTTTGGTTTGTGAAACTGAAATCAGTTGACCACACAAAAGGCAAACTGTCAAGTGCCATCCCAGACCGATGCCGGATCCAGCCACGATTTGTGTCGAGATTCAACGATGAGTTCAGACAAACCAAATGCACGAAACAAGGGAAGGATTCTAAACCATGGAATGCAAACAAATAACAAAAAAGAATCGAGAACAAAAACAAACCCGGCTAATGATTTGCTGTTTCCCCAGATTTTGGAGCAGAAAAAATGATGACACCATAAATCTAACCAAATACACGATCAAAGTTAAGATTTGAGACGAACCCAGATCATGGTGATACTCATATGGATTCCGCATCATCCTTTTCATGGCAGTGTTGTATTCTTCCATCCGGTTCCTCGAGCTCAACGATACATTAGTATCATTATTATTTCTGCTGCTCTCGTTCCTTGCTACCTGACAGCTGATTCTGAACCAATCTCTCCTCTTCTTGATAGGAACCATGAAGCTGCAATTGCCTTCAGGCTTCCCTCGCAATCGAATCTCATAATTTGGGTATCTGTAACTCGCTGGCGAGAGGGACATCACGTTCATCTTCTTCTCCACAGCTACAAGCTTTCTTACAAATTTGGTATCTCACTGTGTGTTCTTATTTAACTTTCCTGTTCTCTTCTTCCTCGTCCCGAAAAAAAAAAGTTATATTGTTAATTTATTGTGGTTGTAAATATTATATATACGGAATATTCCCGGGTAAAAATTGGACCCGGTTTAGCTATTCGGGTCCAAAACTAAAACCAAAATGTTAAGAGGAAAATTCCTCCTCGGCTAGGCCCTCTCCTCTCCTCTCCTTCCCAGTTCCCACTTCTCTCCTCTCTATCTGCTTCTTCGTTACTTGTGAGCTGAACATGAAAGGCTTCAAATCGTTTTAACTCAGAGAAGAAAAAAGTATCAGTCTTTTAGCGGCGAAATTAGCCAAAAGGTAGAGTTTGGTTTGGGTTAGGTGGCGGCGGCGGCGGGGGAGGGAAAAACGATGGAGTGCAGTAGTTGCAGCAGCAGAAGTTCATCTTCTTCTTTACTACTTCCGGCTAGACCTTCTTCTTTTCGCGTCCCTCACTCTCTCGTTCCTTCCAAGCTCAGACCATCAGTAAGCATGCATTCCTCCTAATGATTATTATTATTATCTTTTCTTAATTTTCTGTCGCGTACATGTGCAGCCCTCTTCAATCATAATTGTGGGTTTCTCAATTTGCAGAAAACAAAGCTACATCAGCGTCTAAGCGTCACGAGTGCTTGCGGCCAGGATCGCAATGACTCTGTTGATGGGTTTTCCATCCTCCCCAGCAAGCTTTTCTCGCAGGAGGTAACCCCCTTTCCTTTGCAGGGTTTCCCCTCCTTTTCTAGTTGGGATTTGGATAAGTCACAATTTTATCTACTGGGTAGAGTTTGTTTACATCTGTTGATCATTTTTAGGCTATTGGAGCTGAATATGGAGAAGGTTTCGAAACATTCAGACAGGATGGACCTATGAAGGTTGATGTGGTAAGCGATTCTTTTCTCCCCAATGAAATTGATAAATTTCTTTAGCTCTTGGTTGTCTCTAGCCGTTTCTTTTTTGTTGCTGTTTGCTGGAAATTTTGTTGGGTTTTGTCTTATGGTGAATATTCGTTTTAATGGTGAGAATTTTTTAGGATTTTCTGAATGAGAGACTGCAAGAAGGTTTTCTAAAACGGATACGTTATGCCATGAAGCCAGACGAAGCATACGGTCTTATCTTCTCTTGGGATAATGTTGTGGTAAGTGCTCTAACTCTTTGCCTTGCCTCATTCAAAAATGTAATTTTGAAATGGATAAGCAATTGTTCATCTGTTAGCCAGATAGGAGGGGGTGCAAACCATGAAGTTTCTATTGTTTGGCTGTAAAGAAGTTCTTGTATCTTGAAGGATACACTCTTTTCTTTTGTTTTAGTTAGGTGTCATCTCCATGTTCGATTCTTGTCCATGGCATGGCTGCGTCATTGTTAGACACACTTGAAGAAAATATGGATTCTTTTGCCAAGATTACACATCTAAGAACTTAGAACCCATAATTTGGGATTTCTTTTCTTTTCTCCATAAACCCTATTTATCCTATTTGCGGTGCTGATCCTTCTTTGTGTTCCTTGGTATTGAGACCATGGCAGTTGATTTTATTTCTGCTACTGTCTTTAAGGCCTTCAGACCTCTCTGCTTACATTTGGCTTGAACGTGCACCTAGAAATTCTATTAATATTCTTAAGAGTGCAGTGGATAATTACTGTTAGTAGGGAGGCTTGCTGCCCTCATACTTCTACCCAACATGAATTGAATTGATCCAATGTTTAAAAACCAAAAGTAATCCTCAGGGTGTCGAGTACCTGATTTAAGGGATCGGTCATAAACTTCTTAATTGCCTAAATTTTCCGAAGTGGACTTGCAGTTGTACACTCTATTGAGAATGGTGTGGTTGTGTTTCAGACAGATACTCGAACTATGAAGATGAAGATATGGAAACAGCTTGCTTCTGAAGAGGGTATGCTACTAATGCTTTTCCCTTTATATTCCGTCTTATAGAAAGGCAATTGCTTTTTTAGCTTAATCAGTCCTTTTTTTTTTTTTTATGGTTCAGTCTATTTTATGGGCATGAAGAGAAGCTTTTAGTGAAATACATAAATACTTTATCTAAAGCTTTTTCATTGCCATCTTGGTTCTCCACTGAAACTAGTTTTGTTATTTAGTTTATGTCCATGAAAAGTTATTGCCATTACAAATCTGAAGTTGGATGAATACTTTTTTCCTTCTTGTTGAACAGTTCAAGATGACATAATGTCGTGCTAAAGTATGAAATCATTGTATTATCGAACCCTCTGGTATTCAGGACTTGGTTTGAAAGACTAGGAACAAAACTAACTATGTCAATCAAATGATTTTTTTGTAGTTATGCAACACTAATGGAAGTGAACCTTGCTTTTAACTGGTCTTCCTTCCTTTGGATAAACGCAGTCATTGCTTACCTTTACCGTATGGTGACCCACTGGAATTACATTGTTGTCATTTCTGATTTTCAAAAGCTTTTATATGTAGGAAAGGAAATACCTGAAGATGAACATGTGCAAAGACTGATGCTATATGCAGGTGCTGACCATGTATTGCGTAAGGTTTGGGAATTTCAGTGTCTTTATAAACATTGGTTCTTGTTTCTACCCAAGTTTCATAATCTTTCCCGTCAAATATGGATTTGGATTCACTCATTTTCCATTTCCTTCTTAGTACAAAAGAATTTGCACTTTTATGTTTTGTGATAACTGTAGCTATGATTATTTTCTATCTTTGTTTGCACACGAAATTGCTCTCTGTTTTCTAGAATATATGGTTTTCTAAAGCTTCTGTTGATGCTCCTTGTACTCTCATGCTTCTCATTTAACTGCATACAATTCTAGTTGTTAGGAGAATGAAGAGTAAATGTTTGGCAGATGTTCTATGGTCTCCAACTGTAGGACTTTAGTCCTGTGTTTCAGTAATTTATCGGGCTATAGAGAGCATCTTCATATTTTCCAGTCACTGGGAGTATTCATTCAGAGTTATGACAGTGGTCGCTTGTTTTTTATTGAGGCGATAAAAAATTATACATTTACTGTAAATGATTGATGCTTGATACAACTATCTTACAGTCCTGAGTTTTATAGTTCCTAGAACATAGCTGGAGGAACATATCCAGATTTTATGAAGAAAAATATGACATGGGCATCATTCAAGTTGTGCCTGTCACTTTAGAGTCAAGAAGTGAGGATTGTGGATCATTTATTTGTTTGTTCCTTTTCTCCTGTGACCAATGTTTTCAAGGGTTGTTCGAATAAGGTGAAAGGAGAGAGGACTTGTTACTCACTGCTAACATGAGGTGTGTCTAATTCCAAACGGATCAAAAGAAGGGATGTTTTAGGACGGCTGTTGACTGAAGACCGGAATTTCATCTTTTCTTGTCGTACTTGAATATTCGTGTATGCTCATTTGTCAGTGTTGCAAATTACATGTTAAACACGTACAATGTCTATAGTTCATGATTTTCGATGCATTTTGTCTTATTATCCTCAGAAACTTACAGGTATTACTGTGGGAGTTGTCAGAAAGTGAATTGGAGAGGTTAAAGTCAAGGCTGTCTCAGTTATATGTGGACCATCTTGTTAAAGTGAGTATATCTCTTTTATTCGTTGTTTTGATAAGTTGGTGAAAAGGCAAATGATCATAATTATACTTTTTATTCAGCTCAAGAAACCGATTGGTGGTCTTCGAGAGTGGCTGGATGCAGTGTCTAGATCTGGCATCCCTTGTGCTGTGGTTTCAAGTCTTGACCGGATCAGCATGGTTGAAGCCTTGGACCGCTTGGAGCTCAAGAAGTATTTTCAGGTTTGTTTTGCTTAATGTAGAAAAGGGCAACATTCAGTAGCACGATTTGTAGGGATAGATGGTCCACATGACTATAATCATTGGCCATCGTTTGTGCTTCCCCTCATTCCATGACCTTTATGTTTTTCCAGGCAGTAGTGTCGGAGGAAGATGGCATGGAGTCAATAGCCCACAGATTTCTTTCTGCAGCTGTCAAGGTATTTGCATTCCACATGTTTTGCATTGAAGTTTATTTACAGGTCTTCCTAGAATCACAGTATTCCTTCCTTTTCATCTTCGATTAACTATAACCGGTAGCTGCTAACTCTTTAAATGTACATGCTAATGACAAACTCATTCTTGTTAATCTTTTGGCAGCTAGATAGGAAACCATCAAAATGTGTGGTATTTGAGGATGATCCCAGAGGAGTTACTGCTGCACACAACTGTACTATGATGGCCGTGGCATTAATTGGCGTCCACCCTGCGTAAGTACTCTCCTTATTCAAACAGATTTTAGTAGAGTTTAGTAGCTTACCCTCTCCTGCAATTCACACCTATCATTCTTTCTCCGAAACTACAACAACTCAATTTGATTCAAAAAATAGATGTCGATTGGAATTGCTGACTGGAGATATAGTTGAGTGAGTGAAAGAATTATTGAAACAAGTGAATGATTGTAAAATGATTAGGTGGTTCCACAAGGTGTTGGCTTTTCTAGATACAAATATTAAAATATGTGAACCGGAGTGAGGTAACTAAAATGCTCCAGAAACGTTTGGAGTTTTATTGAAGAAAAACACAGGAAGGGCTGGAAATGTAGATATGGTAAAGGTAATATGGTAGAAGTTTGAAATTGGACAGATCTATTTGATTAAGTAGTCTTTGGATCTCCTTGTTTGAGGAGTTAGTTGGGCAGATCTATTTGACTGAGGAAGTGTTGGATCAACCTACCTTGTGAAATGTTTTACCATCGTTCTTTGGTATGATACCATGTAAAGTTCAATGATGTTTGCTTCTATGTTATTCCGTGGTGGAAAAATTGAATTATGATACGTTTGCTACAGGTATGAATTGGTGCAGGCTGATCTTACAGTGGCGAGCTATAACGATCTGTCAGTAATCAACCTCCGTAGGTTATTTGCCAACAAAGGTTCGACATTTATGGACATGGAAAAGCAGAGCATAGAGAAGTCTCCACCCAAAAGAAAGCTAAGCATTGACACCATTTTCTGAAGGAGACCAGTTTCCATCTCCCCTCCATGTTCCAACTTGTACGTCTTTAGCAATGTACCAATCTTCTATTCCAATTTCCAATACCCCTGTTAAGAATCAATACGTGCTGAATGGCTCTTGTAAATCTTTGCTCTCCTTTCGCATTCTTTATGCGGACATATGTTATGCATTAGCTATTTAGCTTGAAGGTTCAGGTTCAGATATTGATGTACTGGAAATTGGAGATAGGCTATCAGACTGACTGATGGAGGAGTAATGGAGTCTATGTTGCAGCAACTCCTATCTACTAGGGGTGGTAGTTAACCGAGCAGTTATTGGTCAACCAAGAAACCGAATCGAAATATGTGGTTAGTCGGCTAACCGAAAATAAAAAACCGAACCAAAATGCTTCGGTGGGAGCATTTTAGCTTTTAATTAACCGAGTGGTTTTCGGTTTCTAATCGATAAAAAATTAGTGCATCGATAACTAACCGTCTAGCCACTATTTCCTTCCCTTCCCCATCGCGTGACTCCACTTCCTCATCACCAAATTCCATTCCCACAATCGAATCTGTAAGTGAATATAATTCTGCAATATTCAAAATTGCGTCACAGTTGAAATTGTGCGGAGAAAAGATCACTGATGAAGATCTCATGGAAAAGACTTTTTCCACATTTCATGCATCAAATGTGCTTTTGCAACAACAATATCGTGAAAAGGGTTTCAGGAGGTATTCTGAACTTATTTCCTGCCTCCTGGTAGTAGAATAAAATAACGAGCTTCTAGTGAGGAACCACGGATCCCGACCAACTGGTGCTACTGCATTCCCAGAAGTGAATGCGAGAAGATATAACAAGTGTCGACCTCGTGGCCGTGGTCATGGTCGTGGTCAAACCAATCATGGATATGCACGAGGTGGCAATCCTTATTCTGGACGTGGGTTTCCACATGGTAATAGTTCAAAAGGCACATATGAACATGGTGGTAGCTCCAAAAATGCACATTTCCACTAGAAGTGGAAAAATATTAACAAAGTAGTGAAGGGTCAAGATGGTCACAAAACATCCGAGAATACTTGTTACCGTTGTGGTGGTAAAGGTCATTGGGCTCGTACCTTCCGTACGCCAAAACATCTCATAGATCTTTACCAGGAGTCAATCAAAGGAAAAGGAAAAAATATCGAGACAAATATGGTTTGTCAAGAAAATGCTCCTGAACATGGCCTATCTGACTTCACGCATCTAGATGTGGCAGACTTCGTTATCATATCATATTGTTTGGTATTTTATGACTTCGTTATCATATCATATTTCGTATTTTCCTTGAATAAATGTTGTATTTGAGAACTTGTTATGTTTATCCTCTTGTTTGAATGTTTTAAATTAATGTTGTATTTCAATATCGTTTGGTTGTAAGCTTGTTGTTCTCCGAATAAAAGATTTTTAATTGTTCACAGTTTGGTATTGGAGAATGGCTTTAACCACCAATAACCAAGATTTATGCCTTATTGATAGTGCATCAACACACATGATCCTGAAAGATAAAAAGTACTTCTCATATTTGGAAATGAGAGAAGCCAGTGTTAGTACTATTTCAGGAAAAACAAACATCATTGAAGGCTCCGGAATAGCTAATCTATTATTGGCTGGAGGAACAAGATTGTGCATCACTGATGCCTTGTATTCAAGCAAGTCTTATAGAAACTTATTAAGTTTTAAGGATATCCGTAGAAATGGATATCATCTTGAGACAACAAATGAATATGATACAGAATATATCTTCATCACCAATATGGCATCAGGTGAAAAATGCATATCGGAAAGATTGCCTGAATTTTCCTCTGGTTTGTACTATACGTACATTAGCATGATTGAAACATATGCAATTGTAACCCCGAAGTTCACAAATCATGACGAATTCTGGCATGATCGATTGGGTCATCCAGGATCAGTCATGATGCAAAAGATAATTGAAAATTCATATGGTCATCCATTAAAGAAACAAAGAATACCACAATGGAAGGAAATATTATGTCCTGCTTGTTCCCAAGGAAAGTTGGCTATAAGACCATCACCAGAGAAATTGAGAAATGAATCTATCAGATTCTTGGAACGTTTACAAGGGGATATGTGTGGACCAATACACCCTTATTGTGGACCATTTAGGTACTTTATGGTATTGATTGATGCATCAACTAGATGGTCACATGTTTCATTATTATCCACCCGCAACTTGGCGTTTGCGAGGTTACTTGCTCAACTAATAAGATTACGAACTCATTTTCCTGATTACCAAATCAAGAAAATAACATTGGATAATGCTGAATTTACATCACAAACTTTCAATGATTATTGTATATCTTTGGGAATTGATGTGGAACATCCTGTAGCACATGTTCATACGCAAAATGGTCTTGCTGAATCATTCATCAAATGTTTACAGCTAATTGCAAGACCATTATTTATGATAACAAATCTCTCAGCCTCCTGTTGGGGCCATGCCATTTTGCATGCAACAAATTTGGTTCACATCAGGCCAACAAGTTATCATGAGCAATCTCCATTGCAGTTGGTTTTTGGAAATGAGCCTAATGTGTCCCACTTGAGAATATTTGGTTGTGCAGTATATGTACCAATTGCTCCACCGCAACGCACAAAGATGGGACCTCAGAGAAAGTTAGGAATTTATGTTGGATATGAGTATCTTTCAATCATTAAATATCTAGAACCAACGACCGGATATTTGTTTACAACCAGATTTGCTGCCTGTCACTTTGATGAAACAGTCTTCCCAAAATTAGGGGGAGAGAATAAACAACCATGAAATGAGATAAGTTGGAATGAATTATCATTATCTCATTTCTATCCTCGAACCCAACAATGTGAACTTGAAGTTCAAAGGATAATTCATTTGCAAAGTTTAGCAAATCAATTGCCAGATGCATTTACTGACTTGAAAAGAGTAACCAAGTCTCATATTCCGGCTGCTAATGCTCCGATTAAGATCAATGTCCCTATTGGTCAAATTGATGTGGCAAATGAACCAAAGGCAGGCATGAAGCGTAGTAGACCTTTAGGTTCTAAAGATAAAAATCCTCGTAAAGGAAAAGGGATGAAAAATCAAGATGGTCCATGTAAGGATTCCATTACTCAAGAAAAATCTCCAAACATAATTACATCAGTTCCAGAAGAACATCAGGTACCTGAGAAAGATGAAAATACAGAGATCTCGATTAATTATGTTTTTTATGGGAAACAATGGAACCGCAATGAGGTTGAAGTCGATGAAAGTTTTGTGTACAATATGGCAGTTGATATCATGAATGAAAATGAAGACCATGAACCAAAGTCTATTGAGGAATGTACACGAAGAGATGATTGGTTAAAATGGAAAGACGCGATATTTGCAGAACTGAATTCACTTACAAAGCGAGAAGTGTTTGGACCTGTAGTCCATACCCCTCGCAATATTAAACCAATAGGATACAAGTGGGTATTTGTGCGAAAACCCAACGAACATGGGGAAAATGTGAGATATAAGGCTCGACTTGTTGCACAAGGGTTCTCACAGAGACCTGGAATTGACTATGAGGAGACATACTCCCCAGTAACAAATGCAACTACTTTTCGATATTTAATCAGTTTGGTGGCTCAAGAAGGATTAGACTTGCGACTGATGGATGTCGTCACAACTTATTTATATGGCTCACTTGATAGTGATATATATATATATATATATATATATATATATATATATATATATATATATATGAAGCTACCTGAAGGATTTAATTTGCCAGAAGCAAATAAATCAAACCCACGAGAACAATTCTCGATAAAACTAAAAAGTCATTATATGGGTTAAAACAACCTAGACGAATGTGGTTTAATCGTCTTAGTGAACACTTATTGAAACAAGGCTATAAGAATAACCTTATCTCCCCATGTGTTTTCCTAAGGAAATCTGGTAAAGAATTTGTAATCGTTTCAGTTTATGTTGATGACATAAATATTATTGGGACTCCTGAAGAGCTTTCAAAAGCAGTTGATTGCTTAAAGAAAGAGTTTGAAATGAAGGACTTGGAAAAAATTAAGTTTTGTCTTGGATTACAAATCGAACACTTGAGCAATGAAATTTTCATTCATCAAGAAGGGTATCTAAAGAAGGTACTAAGAAAATTCTATATGGATAAATCACATCCATTAGGCACACCTATGTTTGTGAGATTACTGGATGTGGAAAAATATCAATTTAGGCCTCGAGAAACTAATGAGGAGATAATTGGTCCAGAAGTACCATATCTTAGTGTGATCGGGGCACTAATGTATCTTGATAATCATACAAGACCAAACATATCATTTGCTGTCAACTTGTTAGCAAGATTTAGTTCTTCCCCTTCTCGAAGACACTGGAATGACATAAAACACTTATTAAGGTATATTCGAGGAACAATGGATATGGGTCTCTTCTATTCAAAATTACCCAAAGATAATTTAGTGAGATATACAGATGCTGGATATCTGTCTGATCCACATAATGGTCGATCACATACTGGCTATTTATTTACATATGGAAATGCAGCCATTTCATGGAGATCCATAAAACAAACAATAACAGCCACATCCTCTAATCATGCGGAAATCTTAGCGATACACGAGGCAAGTCGTGAATGTGTCTGGTTGAGATCCATAATTAAAAATATCAATGAGACTTGCGGTTTATCTCCCGAAGAGATGATTCCGACTATCATGTATGAGGATAATGCGGCATGTATCACGCAATTGAAGGAAAGGTATATCAAAGGGGATAGAACAAAACATATTTCACCAAAAAATTTCTTCACCCATGATTTCAAAAGAATGGTGAAATAAAGGTACTTCAAATTCGGTCATGTGATAATTTGGCGGATTTGTTCACAAAATCACTTCCTACTGCAACATTCGAGAAGTTAGTCTACAAGATTGGAGTTCGACGACTCAAGGATCTTCAATGATATCAAGATGAGGGGGAGCATATACGCACACTGTACTCTTTTTCCCTTAACCATGGTTTTTTCCCACTGCGTTTTCCTGGTAAGGTTTATAACGAGGTAGTATGTATGTGTATTAGAAGAAATGAGCTCTACTCAGACTACTCAACAATGGACATCCAAGGGGGAGTATTATAGTATTAAGTGGATGCCCATCATACACATGCTCCATCTACTATCTCCCAACCCACTATAGATCACCATTATGATTAAGTATTATAGTATTAAGTGGATGTCCATCATACACATCCTCCATCTATTATCTCCCACCCACTATAGATCACCATTATGATTATCATTATGGCTTGGTCTCACTCATTGCCTATAAAAGACAATCTAGTAGCAGAGAAACATACACACCATAAATAGCCAGATAGCTTCTCTACTTCTTCATTGTAACCATATCATTACTTGTAGCTTGTACTACGTGGGTATGAATAAAGAAGTTACTCTTCTTATTACCTTATTGTTTATTCCGGAGTAATTGTTTTACAACAAATTTAACACTTGTTAAAAATTAGGAATGAAAATAAATGATACTCAACCCATTTCATTTGGTACAAATTTAGATAATTTCGAACATTAATATATTCATTTTTAAAAAATAAGAAAATGGGTCACCCGACAGGTTGACACGCTCTTTGGGTTGCTAGACCGGGAAGCTTCAACAATTTTGGTCGACGACCTTCACGGATGAAGGATAGACCAAGAGAGTAACTGATCTATTGGTTAAAGCTAACGCCTAACGGTAGCATCGGATCCGATCCGCAGGAATACAATTGGCTGGGTGAACGGCCGCCTGAACGCTATTCTCGGGCCCACTGTTTGGATCGGACAAACCCGAACCATTTTCTCTTTATTTTCCTTTTTTATTTTCCTTTTTCCTTTCTCCCGCTGCACGGATATTGTTTTGTGCCTTATCTTATTATTCTACAAACAAACTTCACATCCATCTACCTGTCTCAAGACGCCGGTAGTGAAAATTTCAAATCCCCCGTTGACCGATTTCGGGTTTCTATCTCCTGCTACAGCTCCCAAGCAGCGGGAAAACCTCTGCTCTTTCCACTGCTTCAATTGGAATTGAAGAAGCTGTTTAGGGATTTCTGGGATTTGTTTCACCGTCTGCCTTCCCAATGCCCGCCATTGGCTGTGGTGGAGGATTAGGAGGAGCAGTGAGCTCTATCAGTCCTTCCTTCTCGGCTCTCTCATCGGCCTTCCCTCCGACGAGAATCTCTGCTTCACCTAAGCCTCCTTACGTCGTCCGCTGTGCGCTTCAAGGTAAATTTCACCCCTTCTCATCTTCTTCATCTTCTTCTTCTTCTTCTTCTTCCGTTCAGGATGGCCACATTTTGTGCTCTCTATGTTTTCCTCTAGAGGCTAGTCAATGTTGTTCCTGATTTTGGTTATTATTTTTTTTCCCCTTTCCCACTATTGTCCCAATATTTTCCACAATTCTCATGTGTAGGGTCTTTCCGTGGGATGTTGATTCTTCAATTGGCAACCGAAAGAACTGAATAATGTGGTGGTAAATGTGATTGCACAGTCTCTAGTATAGAAGTGAAGATTTTGTTGTTTAAACTCAATTGGCAAAGACTGGACATGGAAGAAGTGAATGTGGCTCCTACTTTTATGTTGGCTGTTATGCTGCACTTCATAGTTCATGGTCTAGTGATCAATGGATTAATTGGTTCTGAAAAGTCCATAGCATTTGCATTTTTGTTTTGTGTAATGTTATACCAGGAATGTTGGAATCTTCTGCTGGTAAAAAGGTTTTGTTTCATATGCATTGTTGATTGAGACGGTTTTGATCGGTATTGGATACTCTATTTATCATTATACTTATGTGTTCTCTCTATTCTGCATATCATTATCTGTGTTTCTTTTTTGTTTTTTCACATAGTGTTTCTTAGGTTATTTGTCATACTCTTGAAATGTGGTGTCTGTTTCTTTTTATATCGAGTTTTTCTTCTTTTAACTGCAATGCGGGTTAAACGTCTCGTCCAGGAACTGTAGCAGAACCACAAGCTGTCTCGACTACTAAACCCCTTCTTCTAAATGCGGTTAGAGGACAGGATGTAGAGAGACCCCCAGTTTGGCTCATGCGGCAAGCTGGGCGGTATATGAAGGCAGGTCTATGCAGCAGCTTCATTTCTGTCCTCTAAACATTTGATCTTGCAATTACTAGTTTGTAGTATCAACGTGCTGACAGTATGTTTTGTGATTTATTATCTTGAAACTCCTTCTTTGTCCTATTTTTTATAATTTCTTTCTTTCTTTGTCCTAATAATGTTGTTTTTCTTGTATGCATATGTCAAACATTGCGATGGGTCTCACTCGTATACCTTTTCTTTCTTTGAGCAGAGTTACCAGATGATATGTGAGAAGCATCCTTCTATCCGTGAAAGATCAGAAAATGTTGATCTTGTAATGGAAATCTCACTGCACCCATGGAAGGTTTTTAAACCTGATGGGGTAAGATGACTTCCTAATCCTTTCCCCTACTTGAAATATAGCTATCTCGACTATGATTCTGTACTGTTGCCTTGTCTCAGTTCTCCAAGTTCCCTTCCTGTTGATTTCGCAGGTTATTTTATTTTCTGATATCTTGACTCCACTTTCTGGGATGAACATACCTTTTGATATTGTAAAAGGGAAGGGTCATGTTATCTTCAATCCCTTGCGGACATCTGCTGATGTTGATCTCGTGAGAGAGTTTGTTCCTGATGAGTCAGTTCCATATGTTGGGGAAGCATTGACAATCTTGCGGAAAGAGGTATCAACTTATTTATCTTTC